GTCACAGATCCTAATCTTAGTAATGTAAATAAGTAGATCTATGTGAAATCTGACTTTTCCTACACCATCTACTTTTAACATCAGGAAGAAGGAAACAACACCAGATTTTGTCCCCTAAATAGTACTTTTCATTAGTGAAACAACATACCTTGTAGATTTGAAGAGTGACACAGCTCCAGAACACTTATATTTAGTTTCCAGATAAAACAATACTGTAAACCTACAGAAAGTAACTAATAAAAACTCTACACAAGAAAACTGTAAAGGGAACTTTGTGATCAGCCTTAGTTAAGGCAGTAAAGGAGTTCCTTAAAGGAACAAAATTTAAAGCAGGTAAGATATGGATGCCTCAAGAAAATGTAATGTTTTCACATTTAATGATCTTTATGTATTTTGGCTCAACAAGCCATAGTCTCTACTTTTATTCCACACCTTAGTAAAAAACTGTTTCTTTTCTAGTTTGAGACATTCTTTATAATTGAAATCAATCTGGTTCATGGCAAAGTAGCAATTTTAGACCTGATTGCCAGTTTATTTCAAATGTACATGATGTTACAATCAAACTGCAGATATGTCCACTGCTGTGACTTACCCAACAAAACATTTCTGCTTCATTGAAGCAAAGAATGTGTTTATTTCCTGGAACATGTAAAAGCTAGTTTCCCAAGCTCCACACAGAATGGTATCCCTCCCTCATCCTCCCAGATTCCCATGCTCCTTGATCTATGCCATGAAGACAAGCAGAAAACCTGTGCAATTTTTTGGCTGGAAAACCTGTGCAATTTTTCATGATGTAAAAAATTTGTATTTTTATAAATGTAACAGTGTGGTTACTGAGGGAAAAAAAGCACAAGTCTGTTCTTTTGGTGGCTGATTGGCTGTAAAATACTCTCTTGTGCCTAGGTGTTAATTTTCTCATTTCCTTGACTCTCTCAATTTATTCCAAATTAACTGTTGGTACAGCCAAATTCTACACTGAATTTGCACATAAAAGGGGAACATCACTGATTTTTGATTGATACAGAAAAGAACATTAATGTGGAAGTTCTAGGAACTATTTTTGTAATACATCTCAAAAAGGTTCCATGCCACAGGCTCTTCTGCTTAGTAGAAAGCCTGTCCAGAAGCTAAAGGATTCTTGTGACTCTGGGACTTCTCTGCATTTTGAGTTGAACAATACAAAAGGAACCACTTGTAAGAATATCTGACATATCCATCTTCCTACGACTGAAAGAAGGTAATTATGATTTCTAATGTTGGTTTTTTTTTTTTTTTTTTTTCTCATTTTGCTAAGACAGACTAGCTGAAAACATAATGGTTGTTCTAAGAAAGCAATGGTATCTTCAGGAAATCTGCTCGTTACCTGAACCATTCCCACATCTTTCCTTAACTTCTGCCACCACAAGTGTTTTAAGGTCAATGAGCTCATTAGATTTAAAAATAACCTTTAGAAGGGAATTATTTTAATTCTGTTCTATCACAGATAGATTCACAGTCCAGCTTACTTAGCAGTTTCAGCAACAGTTTAAGCATAACTGTGGGGAAAGCACAACAGAGGCCTGAGCAGACAGGAGAGTGAACTCTGCAAATCTAAATTGGTACTGGGAAAAAAGAATCATTGAACCCTATCAAAGTTACTGTTTCAACACTTTTAGACAGCCTATATTAGCTTCTATTTCAGAATTTACATCCATAATAAATTCTAATTCCACTCTGATTCCCAGTTCAAAGAATTCATATTCTGTCATTAAGATGAGAAAAAAAAAAGTCTTCAGGTGAGAAAAATGTCTTCAGTTTACAAAGTGAGCATAAATCACAATTTTAAAAACATGCTTTCATTTCCAATATTTAGATGCTGACCAAATACATAAGATTGGTCTGTATGGTTTATTTACCTGAACTAAGTAAATTAAAATATAACTATATAATTGTGTATTTAATTGTCTGACATTTTAAAAACACACATAAGTCATTGTGTCCCCCTTTAAAGTTTGCACAAAGGTGATAGCAATTCTCCTGGCCTCTAATACTCTCTTTACTTGTTCATTATAGAATCCTTTCAACTTTGCCTCCAGCAATTCACAAACTCATTTTTTCATGAGTAAATATTTAAACCAGATCTGTTTTAAAATGTCTACAGAAAGGAGATAAAAGCAAGTATTTAGATTTATAGCTAACTGGGTAATAATCAACTGCTACTAGAAAGAATTTGATCCATGTCTCAGCTTTAACATGAGCCAGTAGTCCAGGTAGGGGGCTGTGAGCCTTTGTGCCCTTATGGTAATGTTCTTAAGCAAACAAAAGATTGCCACACACCTTGGAGGACAATTAATTCATTGAAACGGGACATTTAAACTTTTCCTTTTCATCTGTAACATAAGAGCTAGCTGCACTAATATTTGACTTTCAGTTTCACAGTGGAAAGAGAGAAGGATAAGAAAAGCAGAGAATTAGAACTTAGTTCTCTGATCATTGAGAGCTTGTCCCACCCACTTAATGGTCTGTCTCCACTTAGCTTCAAGTAATGCAGTCTTAACTATCAAAATATATCCATTATTGGAATAGACAACTAACATTTTCAGTATTACATGTAAAATGTTCCACACATTATTTATGTACACTTACAGAATCATGGTTTTTACTCGGATCTAAATTTCCCCCTATTTGATGCTAAAACTCAAAAGTACTTCAGTTCATTTAGCAACTGTTGTAGGAAAAACTTCCTAGGCTTCTTGAGGAAGGCATATACACTTTCCAAAACTGAGGCAGCTGCTGTTAGTACCTGAAGAATCAACACACAAATTCTGAACAAAAGCCTTCTGAAAACCAGAGCAACATATGGCAACTGTACTTCATGTAGGATTTCTGTTATTTAGGATTTTAATGGGCAGTTACTATGCAAATAACAAACAATTTAATGATTTCAAACCTTTTATTATTGCTTCTGTAAAAGCTAGGAATACTTGCCAATTCTCACAACTTTGCTGTTACCACTTCTGTCCTTTAGCCAAAGGTGGTGTGACAGCCATGAGAGTAGGGAATGAAAATGTCTCTAATCTGGATTTACCACTGTAGCTTGTGCCAGAGAAAATGCTCTTTTCCACGGGGTTGCCTGTTGTCCATTTAAAATGAGTAATAGCTTCCTAATGGTTCAATTTAGGATCCAAGCTCAGGCTCAATTACAAAGCCAAATCACTATAAACTAAACAAGCTGAGTTATTTCAGAAGACTTGGCAACTGTTCTTTCATCACCTTTTCAAAATAATAACTTGTGACTTTGAAAAATATGAAATACACTAGTCGCTAACTACAGTCAAAGCCGAATGATAAGGGAGATAATTTCCTCTTCCCTGTCTTTGATTATGCTAGAGAACAGAATTCATCTTTGAAGAGCACACTTTCTTAGAAGGGAACAAACAAGAAAAGAGAAAAAAAACATAAAATGAATTTATGAATTAGAGATCCTCCATTAGAATAACATTGTTCCACTTTACATTTCACTTTTTTTTTTTTTCAGATAAAAAAAGATTAAAAACAGATGAAGGGGATAATACTGAATTTGCCCAGTTGAAGGAATTAAAATGCATACATATATGAAATGGCCTGTCTATACTCTGTCTAGAAATAACTTCTGCAACTCATTGAATTTGAGTGATTTACATCAGTAAGTCGAGATCAGCATTTCATTCTTGGCATCAAACCTGACAGTGTTTGATATGAAGAACATTCTTTCTAAACACTTTAAGATACTGTCTAGACTACAAAAATAGTTGAACATTTTTGAATTTACTTTCTAGGCTTATGTTATACATGGGCATGAGTTACTGCTGCAAACATTAGAACTTATTTGACTTATTCTCTGATTTACAGGCTTTGAGTGTTGCAGTCCTTAAAAGTTTTCAAAGATGTGGAAAATGTTTGAAAATCTGGTTTTACAACTTTATTACCCAAAAGGCAAAAAACTAGGATGGAAACGACAGAGGAAAGTTCGGTTTACTTGAAAAAAGACTATTTAGGCAATATATGAAATGCTGAAGAAGAAGAATTATTAAATTGAAGTTAATGCAATAGGAAACTATTGAAAAGTATGGGTTTAATCCACAATAGTATACTCTTGGTTCTATTTTAATTTTACACAATTAAAAAAAAAGAAAGGATATTTATAAGAGACTGTATTTATTAAAGTAGCATAAAGTATTTCAGGACCCTGACAATTTATTCTTTCTATAAACAAATGTTCCAATTTGAACTAGGGGGAAAAAAACTCCTAAAACATAACTTCACCGTTACAGAAACAAACAAGTAACCCCAAGATTTTCCACATAATTATTTTGAATCACATGCATTTTTTTATTTTATAAAGTAGACAGCAATAAACACAAAAAGAATAGTTCACTCTTTTCATTGAATTAAAAACACGATGCTATGTAGACCACCAACAGTCTTGGAAGAAGTGGTAACAAGGCTTCTGCTACAGAATAAAGAGGTTCTCTCATTTTGAAGAGATTCTAATTCTCTCATTGGCAAAAAACAAATAGACAAACCAATTACTTACTTCCTTTTAACAGTATACAAGAATATAAAGTTATTATCTATATTGTTCTCTCACTGTAACCATAGTATAAAAGTTATTTTTAAACGTATCAACAAATGCCTTTTTGGGTGTCAGGAAAGGATACTACCCTACCTGATAGTTGTCAGAGGGTCTAGGAAGATTGCTTTTCTTTTGGCATTAACACAGAAATTAAAAAATTATAAGACAAGATCAGAAGTGGAATCAAGACTCCCTGACCATGTGGTGTGACAGGAATGTTGATCAGCATTGGACTGGCTATTTGTGGGAACTTCTCAATGATAGTACTGGACTGCTGAAATGTATGAACAAAATATTTTACTAACAAGAAAATGAATTTTAAAAAGAGTTTGTGACTGTGACTGTCTTTTTTTTTTTTTTGCCAGGCTTTAAATTTAAAAGAGAAAACAGCCAAACCAGCACTTACAGTGAGGCTCATAGGGAGGAGGAGGATCACCACAAGGAACACATTCCATGTCTTGAAAGCCTCCAAGTTTAGTCTTCCTATAAAATCTAGAAGATAGCAGAATGTGAAAAATAGTTAATTGAAACAAGTTATTATTCCTCACAAAATAATTCAGGTGTTTTAACAAAATCTTCTATAATTGCAAGTTTTGTCAATCTGAGTCTCAATGCAAACAATCAAGAAACAGAAGAAAATAAAAGTAAACAAAAGTACAGTAGCTATTAATTAGTAGGACAAGACAGATTGAAAATAAATAGGAGGAAAACATCTAGATCTGTTAGTCCAAATGCATGGTCACTATAATCTTATATTCACAGAAGAAAAACAGTTCTGGAGATTTTGGACAGAAATCAATATCCCATTTTCCACACAGATCACAGCATACATTAATGACAAGCATTAAGAACTTACCTTATGCAAGCTTAGTTACATGTCTAAAAACTAAAAGTGAAGTGATTGATCTATATATTACAAGATAATTATCATCTCTAAAAACATATAACAGGCTGGATATCAGTGACATTTTATTTAAAGACCCTTCAAGAACTTTATTACTGACCTAATGTTTGAATATCATACTGACTACAGTGACTGGCAAAACCCTACATTCCCAATCAGGGAACAAGAGTAGCACCAAGGAAAAAGCAGAACTTTATAATGCTATATTTCAAATTTTAATGTATGACATCCTCTAAAGAACTTACCTACAGCTCCTAATCAAATAGGTCTGTCTGTCTTTCAACCATTCATTAGAAGTAAGACAGAATCATCAGCAGTGGCCTGTTCAAGATGAGTACATGACCATTTTCATGTAGTGGTAGTGGCACATTAAATAAAAGGTGCCAGCTACTGATGGTATATTCCTAACACTGCAAATGCCATAAAGTATGAAGCTTTTATCAGCTAATGCAAACAGCTTTCCAACTGCTCAAGAAACTCCCACTTTATCAATGTGAACAGAAACAGATCCACAGGCTGCAGGACTGAAGGGGTCACTGTGATCATTTACTCTGAACAAAATGTGTTGATATTTGTTTCTAGGTTACATGCTCACTGTAGCATTTGGAAGCTGAACAACAGAGAATGGCACGTTGGAAATCCATGCGAAACAGAAATAAAGAAGACTGCTAAGAGGTAAAACATCAGTTAAACTATTTGGTTAACCTAGCTGTACCCTCCATTTGTTTGGGCAGCATCTAAACTGACGACAGGTATGAGTGGTGGTGTGTCTTAAAGTTCTGTGACTCAAAATATCCAGGCCAGGGGTCCCATGACTACCCTTGCCACGGCCATGACTCCCTCCCTCCTTCCTTCTGTTTCCAGCTTTGCTGCCAGAAAAAACTCAGGTTGTGGAAGCAGCTCTCATTTTAAAACATACTCAACACACCTATCTAGGAGGCATTCTTGACTGGAATACTGAGAAGCATTCCCATGTCCTCCAGCTTAGCTTTACCATTAATTCATGTCCTAATGTGGCTTCTCTTTTAATCCTTTCTCATCTTCCAAAATTCAGCTTATATTGTTTACAGAAGAAGAAAATCTTCTCCTTGCTGACAACCAAGTAAGCCCTGCAATAATTATATATTAATATGCTAGAGGAGCATAAATGAATGTACCGTGTGGCTGCAAGTAGTATCAAAAGTGGTTGTGAGTAACATCTATAATGCCTGGGGCTGCACCCTCTTGTATAGTGACTTAAGCTAAGATTAGCTACCAAACCTGTACTAAGTGCTTTTAAATGAAGAGGTTTCATCTCTAGCTTGAGAAGGAGTAGTGGCAGAAGCTTCAACAGTGTTCAGGTATTTGATAGTTGGCATTAAAAAAAAATAAAATCTATACAAATAAAATAGAACAGCTGAAATATAGAAACTAAACAAATGTATGAACTTTCAAGCATGTCTGAAATATATACTCTGACAACAAAAAGACTGTTACAGTTTCAAATCAGTTCTCATACACTATTACTATCAGTTAAATTACTAGTTCAAAAAAGCAACAAAAATGTCTTTTTACAAATTCATGGCAGGTGTTTATAATATCAGAACTTGGCAACAATGGAAAGAATAGCCTTTTAGAGATCTCAGGATTTAATAGTACAAACAGAGAAAATTAGTAACAGAATTTTGGGATGACAGGACAACAAATGAAGCACAGCTCTTGATTTATAACAGCAGTTTCAGCAAACAATTCTTTCAGATTAATTTATGATTTTCAGCTAGGATCATGCTTTATAAATTTTGAAGAAAAGAAAGGTGAAAGAAATTTCAGAAAGTAAACCACAGTCACTGCTTCACTGCTTTTGGCCTAAGAATCTATGTGCATGAGAATTATTAGGCATTGACTTAAGGAGGGAAAAAATGCAAGCAAATAATGTGATAATTTTTGAAGAAGGTAGCAGTGTATGTTTTCAAATGTTTACATGTTTAAAACAATGAACTAAATCACCAGTAACACTGTTGAAGGTATTTTGCTCAGGTGCTGTACAGACAATACTCTCACAGACCAAGCAGGTAATTATCAAACCATTTTTGTAGATAATTATTCCTGCAATTCAGAAATTATGTGCTCAGATAATACAGTAAAGCCAAGATTAGAACATAGGACCTTCATACACACACAAAGGGTACCAACATTTATCCAGAAAACATGAACAAGCAATTTTAATGTAAATCAGGTTAGAATCAAGTCTCATCTTCAGAAATGGTCTTACCCTGGTAAACAGTCCCCACATAGTGCATTGCTGGTGGCAGAACAGTTGGCCTTCTGAAACCTGTTAACCAAGGCACAATCCAGACAAGGCTTGCACTTCTGAAAGCCCCAGTCTTCCTTGAATCTGTTTGGCCTGCATGTCATGCACTGTGCATCCTCCCCGTATCCAAAGCCGCATTCCTGCAGGGATTAACAAGCAACAGCAAGCTATTCAGTCACTGAAAGTGTGAACAAGAGGAGAATGCTGGGATAAAATGAAGACCTGGTGTAATTATTACTGAGAGTAGGCCTTTCTCGAGACAAAAGCCAGCCTTTCAGCAAGTTCAAATGTGTCTTCCACTGCTAATAATCTCCCTTACTTCTATAAGTAATACTTAGTCATCCACTTTATTCATGAAACCACTGTGTATTTGAATGATAAAGGGCTTCAAGGACTCCCACAGTTTCATTATTACTAGCTTATGGTAGAATTATTGAGCTGTCTGTTTTTTAATTAGGTCAGTCATGTGAAAGCGAAGAAACTGGGACAAGTGAAGTATGAAGGCACTTGCTCAGTTACAAAAACAGCAAAGAAGCACTTTGATATTAAGGTTCATAGCTAAGGTGAACAAAGTTAATTGCCAAAGAGAGTGCACTGATCTTCAAAAGCTTAGGACTTCTGTTACCAAATAAACCAGAGCTGGTTAATGACCATCAGCTAGGCACAAACTGTTGCTTAGCCAATAAGAATCTCAAAAACTCAATCCACTACAGCTCTCACAGTTCTCAAACTGTAAGAAAAGTTTAATAGATCTGCAGATCACAGGGGGCACAATATTTTACTATACAAGTAATGTTATTATAGTTGGTTATTTCTGCCAAATTTAGCAGTTTAAAGGCATTATTTCAATTCATTTGCAAAAGGGCACCTAATACAATGGACAAGCTGCAAAGATAAACACTGACCCATATGTAAAATTTTGGGGACTGAATCCTATGAATTCATAGTTCACAAGAACTATCAATCAACTTCTTAGGAGTTATCAAGTTACTGGGAGCTGCTATTCCCTCTTATCATCCAAATATCCTATCAATTTTGCTTGGTACTTTGAAGTTTGCTTTGATGCATTAGTGATACACCACAAAACTGCAAGGGGAACACAACAAGTTGCCAGACAGAATTAATTAGGAAAGGCACAATATGGGGAGCTTGCTCTCCAGTATGTATTTTCAGTGGAAGAACAGGGCATCTTCCCAGTGGGAAAGCTGCAGGAAATCTTCAACTAGGGCAACTTCAGAGGAGGTTTCCACCAGTTTGATGCATATAAACATGCACGTGTGTGATGCATATAAAAAACTTTTTCCAAAGCCACCAACCTAACCAAATCTGCTGCAAAAAAAAAGCTTTTAAACTTTAGAAACACTCAGATTCTCCAAGATCAAACACACTTGGATCCTCCAAGGCTTTGTACTGAGAAAGCATCTATGGGAGGAGCTCTGTGATCAAGCTGGCCAATAGGCCTCTAAGCTGAAATGATAAAGTAACAATAAAAACTTCAGAAGCATTTTACAGGACATTCTAAGAATTTTAAATTTTCCTTTATGTTAAGAATAAACTTTACTCTCCTCTGAAGAACAGCCCTGAAGCATGCAGAAAATGAACAGTTTATGAAAGCAACTACAAAAAGATAGTAAAAATAGAACCACAAACTTAGTCAACAATTTTTAGTTTTTGTTTTGCTTTCTTTTAGCTAAAATGTAGCTTATTACTACTGATTTTTTTTCAGATCAAGGAGCAGACAGGTAAATCATTGCAGTTACTAACAAAACCAAACATCCTACAGTTTCATGCACTGTACAGCACGGTCCTCCTGTGATATACTGGGACCATATTAAAGCTGGTAGGCAAAAAGTTTAAAAAATATATAAAAACATTTATTTTCTTTTTTTTACTTACTTCAGATATAGAACATTTTACACAATTTTATTTCAAATTGACAAGTTTCTACTAGGAATCAATGCCAAAGCCATGTCAGTTTTAGCTGTATCTTCCTGTGCTAATTTTTACATTCCATTTCATTTATGTAATTGTAAGACTGTATACAAAGCTACATGATTACCACTAGAGACTGGAACCAGACAAACTTGTGTTAGATTTTGCGCTCCCTAAGTCTAAATAAACTTTTTCATTGAATATCATTAATCTTTAACACACTCTTTCTAAATACCTACTCTTTCTAGTTAGCTTATCCAAACAGTAGCATTATGGAATATATTATACCACTCAGTTAAATCATTTACATTTTGATCTTTTGATAAATCACTTGGAATCAGTCCCTCCCAAGTCCTATCAAACTTTCAAATATAAGGCTTGAATTGACTTAATTATAAGTTTTCCTTTCCAGACTACCTTTGAAGCTTTGGATCAAAAAACAAGCAGGAAACAGAAGTTAGAATTAAATGCTTTCACTTACTGGCCCAAACTACCAAAGCTGAATAAATTGCTTCTAGATCAGATCTGCTTTGCTATAGCAGGATGTATGGACACATCCTAGTGATCCTTTGCATCATGGAATGGTTTACTTTAGAGCTATAAAAATGGTGGATGCAACGTAAAGAAATTTTCTGCCCCAGGAATTTACAGTTTCCCGTGTTTTCAAAGATGGTTTCTAAGTCCTTCTTAGCCAGAAATTCCACAGATACCAATTCATAACAACTAAAACTTTATGTATGTGATTTTTTTGTTCACATAATATTTGAGGTAGTTAACTGCCTGGCAGGTGCAAATAAGTATTTAAGCTTGTAAACCAGGCAGAACTTCAAAAAGATCTATACTCATAATTAACCACATTCCCCAAACTGAAGGATATGATTTAGATGATGGATTCAAACCCTTTGAAATCTTGGACTTTATAATTTAGCAGTCCAGCAAAGATACAAACAATTGACTGTTCATTTTTTATCAGTGCATGTGCAAAACTGATGTGCACCAGTTTTCTCTGTGTTCTATTTACAAAGCTGTCAAGTTATATGGCTGATGAGATCTGAATAGTTCCCAACTCCCCCTCACCCTCTCCATCCTCCCACTCTTAACTTTAAAAGAGAGCTCATCTCCTGTGGCATTTGACCTTAGGACTGCAGAAAAGAGAAATAAAATTTGTAATAGCAATCAGCTAGATTTAAAAAAAAACATTTTTTATTTTTGTGCCAGAAAAAAAATAGCAAAAATAAATGCTGCCTTTATTTTTTGCTGTTGCAAAGCTTTCTGTGAAGAACACTTAGCACAGTCCTCCCTTTCTACTTTCCCTTTTCAATGAATGAAAATTTTCTCTCTCAAAGATACACAGTACAAGCCATTAAACTCAAACACTCCTTTAGAAAACTGAATTCAAGTTAATTACAAACAAAAAAATTTTCAAAATTCAAATGCACCTCAACTTTCTTGATATCTATACAGCTTTCACCACCACAGTAATGTGCCATCTCTTCACCTATAACTTAGGTATCTCCAGAACAACTCTGTTCAGAAGTGTTTCACTGAGGTATTAAGTGGGGTGACTGGTCAAGCCTGCCTAGGAATCTGCAGCAAACTAGTTAACCAAACTAATAATTTTGTTTCTAGCTAAAAATCTTAAAAGCACAGAACAATGCAGACACCTCTTCAAGAACTACCAGGCCACTGTTAAAGTTTTCTTTTACTATGTACTACCCAAACATTGATCCAGACAGAACGACTATAAAGGGTACTGGAGTTAAGTGGTATGGTTTTTCCCTAAAAGTTGAATCCAATACAGACAGTAAATGAAGAGTAAATTAGATTTTAAACATTATTTCAATTAAAATAACCTCAAATTTCATTTAGAAAATGCTTTCAGGCATCATTAAGATCATAATCTGCAAGTATATTTTAGAATTGTTTCTAGTTCCACTGATTATCCATAAACTATGTAAATCCCTAGACAGCACAGCCAAAGCAGTTCCACTTATGCCATGATGATTACAAGAATACTTGGTATTCTCAAGAAAAAGTCTACCAGGCATTAAGACACTTAATTGGTGTTGGGTCATATAACAGGTTGCGGCACTACACTGGTGCTGGGAAATGAAGCTTTTCCTAATACCTTTGAGTGCATGGCCTTTCTAAATAGCACACAGTTTTAGCTTCCTAAAGTACCTCAGGCTGTGGGTCAGCCTCATCTAGAATCCAATAATGAGCTGAATCTATCAGCAGAAGTCTCTGAGCAGGACAGGCTGTAACAGCATGCTGCAAACATCGGGTTTAGCTGCTGTGTCAAAGTGCACAGCTAGGGTCAGAAAAGTTTCATTCTCACTGAAGATGATTTGCCATGCCTACATGCAGCTGCTCCAGTTTCCAGAAACACATGCTGGCCTCTCCTGAGCTGAGATCTGGCAGGCTTCCTCACAAGCAGCTCTCTTGCTTTGAAAATTAAAGAGTGACTGCAAACATGGCAGCAGCTGCTCTCCGTGGCTTCACAGTGACAGCACGTCAGCGGCAGCACAGCATGCTGATGTTCTTGTGTCAGGACTGTCACATCCAGGAGAAGCTTCAAACAGTACCTGCCCGTTTAATTCACAATTCCTTTTTCTGAGACAACGTGGAAGTCTTCCCTTTCCTCATCACACACCTGATACAAGGAAGCAAGCTGTGACACACAGCCCCACCTCAGCAACCATCAAGCTGCCTCTGTCCCACCAGCTGTCTCTCAGTGACACTATTTATCATGGATTACTTGATGGCTCTGCTGGCTTCAGGCACTCTCCCCTTTACCTCTTGGTTTCTATTCCTTCCTTGACATATATTGTCCTCAGCGCATTGGCTCAGCTGATAACTTTAAAAAATGGTGGTGAAAGGACTGGAAGGACTTCAATTCTGTACTTGAACATGTTTAAGAAAATGGCTGAAATATGAACTATGTCATTTTTTTCTGCATTAATTGTGATTTGTATAAATTTCAATAGTATATAAGGCTTGATTTATTTCAGAAACATATATAAGATAGGATGAAATGCTGTTACTATCAAGCCAAACCAATGACTATTCAGCCACTGGTAAACTGAAGCCACTTAAAGAATAAAAGGTATTAAATTATATGTGCTTAACTATGTGATGCTTTGCTGTCTACTAAATGAATGAGAAATGCAATAATGCTGAACCACATGAAGCAAACTCTTCCTTCTGAATCAACACAACCATTTCAGTCTCCCACCCCAGAAGAAAGCACTGCTTAACAAAAAAAGAAAAAAAACCTGAAAAACCTAACAAAAACCCCCAAACAGAAAAACAACATGAAACAAAGACTGCCCACACTGAAAAGTAAGCTAATTCAGTGATTCAACGGCTTCACAAACATTACCAAAGACATGTTTATGAGAAGAAAAGGCTATACAGAGATTTTTTTTAAATTAACAAATAGAAGCAAAAAAGCATGGGAAGCAGCTTTCACTCTCTTCCCCATCAATTCTATTGATACAAGAATAAAGCTTCCTTTCTTCTGATGGCAATACGTTAAAAGTACTTAATAAAAATACAATTAACATAAGTGATCAATGGATTTTTGTTCTAAGCTAATGTAACATTGCAGCATTGTTGTTAGAACAGCATATAGGCAATCAGAAAGGAAAAGCTGTGGGTGGTACTATTACTTTCTTACTTGAAGGAAGAAAAATTACTTTAAAAACATTTTTGAAATAGAGATCCCCATTAAACTGTGACAGCAAAAGCTGAAAAGAATGGTCTAGATTCAGAATTAGTTACTTGAAATAAGGCTGGTTTTTTGCTGGTTTTGTTTTGTTTCATGCTATCAAGAGTGTCTGAAGTTGCTTACCTATACAGGAAGGTCAATCCAATAGACTGAGCATTGGTTTGCAACCAAAATTAAAAGACTCACCATTGAATCATAGAACAGACAGGTTAGAAGGAACATTGAAAGAAGGTTCCTTCTGAAGCAAACGTTCATGGGTCAGGGACCTGAGCTGATCTGAGATGATCTAGCACCCTGTCCAGTTGCATCCCAAAAGCTCCCAGTGATGGGGACTCTAGGGAGATTGTTTCAGTGAATGAATGTTCTCACTATAAAAAAGAAATTCTCCTGGTACAATTTGTGCCCATCACCCTTTGTCTTGTCTATATGTGCCTTGTGAAGAGAAAGCTTCTGTTACACACTATGGCCTCTGTCTACTCTGTTCTACCAAAATATTCCTGCATTACCATGGGCAAGTTGATTTATGTTAGTGTCTCATGTATAAATTGAGAAAGAGCAACAGAATTTCCCTCATTTAGAAAGGTGAAATGCTCATAGAGTACAGCAACAAAGACAGCTATATCTAACTGAAGTTGTAAAAATAAGTATACATACACACATGCAGTCTGTACAGCTGGGTTTTTGCCCTGTATTTCTGTAAAGTCACGACAAGAAAGAAAACTACATATTTAGATTGTAATGGAGATAAAGTAATTTCTCATACACAAGGTGAGAAAAGCTGGGCTTTTGCATTCAACCATACAGGCTGATATGTTTTGTTACAAATATAAAAATAAAACCTATCTGTCAATTGCTTAAAACACTCAGGGGGAACTGAACCAAAAACCCCACCACTAACATTGCATTTTACTATAAACTTAGACACAGAATCATGCTCACACATGCAGAAGTATATCTAGTTTTATCCAGGAGCACTAAATATTTAACAGGAAAACTGACATATTATTAAGTATTAAGAAACTGTGATTAAACTGTAGCATTATTATATCATTGTTTTATAATATGTAAAAAAAACAAGCAAACAAAACTTCTCCTGGGCTCAAGTTACTTCAAGTGTATCATTAAAGGTGTCTTCCCTTTGCATTTTGACCTTTGACTTTACATATTTGTTGCTTCAAGCTGTAGTTCTACATGATTACTTTCAACCACATTTCAGTTACAGCCACAGCATCACATCCTTCACTATGATTCACAGAGAATTGTACCTCTATTTATAAAGGAAATCATGATTCCAATCATTTAGGTTTGAAGAAAATCTGAGATTTCATTTCCAGTATAAAAGAAAAATATTTTTGAAAGCCTATTACTGTCTGTGACAAGTAATTGCTTACATAGTGAAATTAACCAAGCATTCCTATTTTCAAAACCACCAAACTAGTCCTAGAAGAATCAGGATTGTAAACAAAAAAACTTATCAGCTTTGTAAACAGTCTGTCAACTAACAGACTGTAAACAAAAATAGATGAAGCAAATCCATAACTTCAATAGTGTACTACTGCAAACTATAATCTTGTTGTTTTAGTTTAGCCGTTCTTTATTAAATTGAGTGTAATTACTGAGGGTCTGAGTTTTTAGGCTTTTGGGTTTTGTTTGCCAACTAGATAAGTATATTATCTAACTATATAAATGCACATAGCATATACTGGCCCATTGTTACAAAGTGACATATTTACAAGTGCCTTTATAAATTAAAACACCCCCTAGAACACCTCAAATTTAAGGCCAATCTGAAAAAATCCAAACTAAACCACATCCATGTCATAAGTCATGTCTAAATCTCTGCTTTAAGAGCATTGCTTGTATGACTAAACCTTAACTAATGCTGCCCAACATACAAAGGGATTCCCACTAAAGTGTGAAACTAAGTATTTCTGTTAATGCACTGAACAATCACCACAGGGGGTCAAGAGATAGAGAAAAGGTGTCACTCAATTTCAGTAAATCCCTTCAAATCTCACACAAGCCACAATACTTAATGTGTGGGTTTTTTTCAGAGCTGAACATAATAGGAACTACAGAGCCATAAACTGAAACTGAACTTTTCTTTTTCCCCCTGAAGTTTGAACACACATACACACCAAACTTAGTAACGGTTCATGTTAAAAAATTTTCAAAAGAAACATTTCAAATTCCCTTAAACACCCTAAATTCCACCTTCAGCATCCTTTTTACACTCTCAGTAGAAGTACAAGACAGAGTCTGCCCTACTGCATGCAAATGAAATGCTCTTTATGGCCCCACCTCCCAGGTGTGGCTCTGACTGCACAGTTATGTCAGGGTCACAGCTTCACACTCCGGCAATGGACAAGATGTGGGTTTAGAGCTGGACTCTGAAGAAAGGGTTTTACACATGCATGAGTCTTGGTAGGTCTACTCACCTTTCTGACACCCCCCTGCACTCTTCTTTGCCTTACCATCCTCAGGTCTCTGGCAGGACACTCTTGCTCCCTCAAGACATCCAATCTCCCAAGACACATAACCCATTTTGTTGCCTCCTTCACCTCCAGTAATGAATACCAACATATTCCTCCCTTTCAGCTATGTTTTCCTTCATTGTTCTCTATCCCTGCTCATGCACAGCACCTACTTTCTCTGAACTGAAAACAACTAAGATCCCCCTCGTGACTTGCATTCAGACTTGGAATTTTGTTGAAAATTTTGCCAAGTGAACTTTCTATTCTACTGAGTCCCAGCCTGTAATCACAACCAGCATTCATCTCCGTTGATTCATTTCCACTGTCCTCAAATCCTAGTAATTCAAAAACTTTTATGGGGATTTGCTTTTGGAAGAACTGCAATTGTTATAAAAGCAAAATGCAATAGCCTAAGATTCACAATAGTATTTCCTTCTCCATGAAATCAAAAAAACTTCCTATGTGCTTTCTAAATATTATCATGTATTTTTCTGCCCTCAACTTTTTCAATTACTTTACATGGCATTAAGATTAGAATTAGGTTTATAGCATTTTTAATGAATTGTAAAACGAAGAAATTGTTCAAGCCTGACTCGAATCTGGCTTCCTAAAGTGCTCCAACCATAGACCTAGTGAAAACAGAACAATCACCTATTTCCCTCCTGTTCTAAGGGAATATATTAGCTCTCATTTGAATCTTAATCTGTATTTATTTGTGTATGACCCATTCTGTTAAGACAAAAAAGTCATATATAAAATATTTAAACTTTGTCACCCAAAATCCAGAACCAATTGTGAATGCCAGCACTGTAAAAATTAAATCCCTCCATGTCAGCACTCAAGGTACCAAGCACTGGTTTGAAATTAATTTTTCACATTCTCTTCTACAGAGTAAGGTTATGCAGTCTTAACTCCCTGTAGTTTTTTACCCCTTTGTAGTTTTTCCCCTCCTTTGTTGTTACCTTTAAAACAATAATTCGAGAGCCCATCCAGATGGTACTGCCTACTTTATTAGTGGCATCATCATTTTCTGAACTGAGCATTTTATAAAAAATGAAACAGATAACATGGTTCTTGAACAACTGCAGAAGGCTCAAATGCCAAAAGCGTACATATTTTCATGTAAGTACAGATATCCATCATTTTAGATCAAATACATAAATGCACTTATCAGAAATAAATTCAAGAAAGCATGATTTCCTTACCTTTGAGAGTTCCATTCCAGGACCACATTGTTTGCAGAGGACACAGTTTCCAGTCTGGTCCCTAAATTCTTGCTCTCTGCAGTCTCCAGTCTCACAAATTACCTTACTTAGCTAAAACACCCAAAACAACAACAAAACAAAAAAAAATTTAAATTCATCAAAATATATTAAATTTGAGAAATAAATCCATGTTGTGGTCTTAAAAATAACTTTCTGGATTATTAATTACCCTTAGTTCTACAGCAAGCCAGAGTTAATTAAGTACACTGAGCAGGCAAGGTAATTGTGTGCTGTGCTACAATCTGTCCATAAACTGAATACTCCAAGCACCTAAACTATGTACAGCACAATGGAGTAAGAGATGGCCACCTCTGAAGTGAAGCAGCATCACCTCCACAGCACTATATCCACTTTATATTTTCTGTTCTAGTCCACTCCTTCATCCATGAAGAGGCTCACAAGGTAAAATTTTATAATTGTGTATGAGGAGCAGCCAGAAATTCTATGAATCAGTGGACAAAGCTTAAGCTCACATCAATAAAATGTGTAAGCATTGTCTGCATGCAGCATTTGAAGACTTTTAGTGTTAGCAGTAATGTGTAAAACAAAAGACACAGTTTCTGTGTTCAGTACAATTTTTGCAACATGGGGGAAAAATATTAAGCTTTAACTTACCAAATATGCTAGTAAAATGACAAGCACTTTCAGTTTATCATCTCTTTGTAATCCTTTAGCATCCATTTCTTGTGATTAAACCTTTCTCCCTAGAAAAATATAAAAAAGAAAAAAAATATTATATTTACATTGCTTAAATTGCAGAAGTCACATGTCCATCATATTTCATGATACTTGGCACGTCAAAATACAATCTGTCAATGCCATTAACATTTTCAAATGGATTTCTGGAAGCTGCTAAACAACAAACATATGCTTTAAAAATCATATGCCTTTTGAAGACAAGACAATAAACACAAAGTTTCTCTAGTTTTAAATCTCAAAAGAAGAGAGTCTTAACTGGCTATCAGTCCAGATTACAGAAGTTCAGCATTTATTAATCTAACATCCCTAACATGTGTTTCTTGCTTGTAAAACACTCAACTAAGTATGTGATCAACAGACAAAAATAAATTTCTTCAAATACACCATGTTGTTTTTATCATTTAAGAGTAGAGACTGACAAATGAAAGGATGGAACCCAAAACAAAAGGAAAATACCAGAGAAAAATATTAAGAATAGTCACAAAATACTTTCCAACATGGAACTACTGCAAGCATAATATGCTCTCAAAAATATACAACCAGAATGAACAAAACCTATAATTAACACACAATTCCACATTTTACTGCATGAATACCCTAGTTAACAAATTCTAATCAATAAGAAGAAAGTATACTTCAGTGTCACTATTGATTTTTTTTAAGAGAAGCTGTATTTTGAAGTGTAAAAAGAGCAAAAGTCTACTAGAAAGAACAGAGCAGGCAGAGATGTGTCAGACAGCCCTCCACAGGAAAGCCAAGATGACATTTCTATGGTTATTTCTCACTTAAGTGATGGCAATGGTCTATGGGCCAATGACAATTACCAGATTAAATGCATGTCAGCACAGGTACTTTCAAGGAATACGAACACATACAGATATAGTATTTGACATAGGTTTCTTTTTTAAGTCTGCGGGAAAAAAATTAAGGCAAGAAACATTAAATGGAAAAATCTCAGAAAAAATTCTGGATGACCAAAACACAACTTCATGTAAAAAGCACTGTAGGACAACTGGAAAAATGAAAAAGGAAAGTCAACAAATTTTAAAAGTTCTGAAGTCATGAGAAGCTGACAATTTTAATGCTGAAAACAAAATAGGTATGCACGAACAAAACAATTTCTAGTAATAGCAAAGAGCAAATGGTGGACAGAGACAGTAAAAAGACTGTTAAGGGAACTCAGAAATTTCAAGAAACGTTTCTCATCTGTTTTTAGAAACACAGAAAATAGGTAAATACACACACCATACATTATATCATGTACTGGCCAACAAGTAACCAAATATCTTTTAAGTAAAACCAGATTAGATAAGAGAGAAATTGTGACACTTTGCACCTCAGTAACCTTGAAATAAGTATCAAGTCTTAATTTTGATCCTGTTCAATTTTGCTGTTCATTCCCTTTGGAATGCTACAGAAATTCAAGAGTAATATATGAAGAAATGAAAAAATAACTTAGAATCATCATACAATAAACAACTCTACACTGCATTACAGAAAAGCAGTCCTGTAAAACAAGCTTGACTTCACTTGATTCAGAGAAGACAAGACAGAAAAGCTAAAAGTCTAAGAGTTAAATTAAAGAAACTGGTTAAATACTGATCCAAAGAATCATGCTGAAATTAATGGGACTTGGCAGAAAAATCCCCATTAACTTTTTTATTTCACATAATTCTGTTTAGTGGAAAAATAAATACTTCATGTGCTTTCTTAATTGCTATAGGACTTAAAACTTTACAGAAGTGTCAAAGGGAAATAAAGTTGTAAACATAATTGAATTTCTTATATTTGAATGACAAGTGATTACTCCAAGTCATATGATTTGTTAATAATTAAAAAATAGCTAAATCATAATACAGTTCTAATGCTATTATGATCATCTATAGAACACTACCAAAACTTCAAAACCAGGATTCTTCCTAAGGTTAAAAGTAAGTTTCATTTTAAGTTTCAATATTTACTTTTGCTTCTGAAAGTAGATGTGTAAGGTATCAAAAAGAAACTGACAATTGTAATAATTGTGTATTTTTGTGTCAAGTTTCACATTGAATTTTCAATACAAAAAGTACTGCTGAGCTGTAACAAGACTAATGATCTAAAATATGGAGCTGTAACATAATCTATGAGGCCTACTTTTTCTGTGCAAGCTGCCTGAAGCACAGAAAAAATAAAGCAAATTAAGAACAGCCCAATTAACTGCCCTGCAGACTAATTATCTACAATAAAACTATATTAGCTTAATGTAATCCAGGTATATTATACCTTTTCTCTCATACATACTAACTTGAAGATTTAATATTGTTAAAAACCAGTATATACACAACTTATCAAAATCAATACTGAAACAAAGCTAATTACATATTTTCATCTTTTAGGATTCTGGAGTCACAATGGAATAAAAATGAAATGCCAGTACAGAACAAAAAGCAATATTAAAAATCTTGCTGGTCATGCTGAATCTTGTATTTCAGTTTTGGAATTGCCCTATCTTTTATAAGATGATCTTCTTATAGCAAGAATCTCAAAGACTTTTAGAACATAAAAAGCACATGGCAAACCATCCTGTACCACAGTACATTTTGTACACTTAGGTGTGAAATTTGATTGCAGCTGTGAAATATTCTTTATTTAAAAGAAAAACTACTGCCCTTATAACAGTCTTGGCAAGTCCAATCACCAGGAGTTCCACAACCCAGAGTAAATTTTTAAAATCAAGCATTTTATTACTGGCATCAAACTAGCAAGGACTTCTCCAACTTACCCTATGCTTGACTAAGGTTCAGTTTTTTGACTGATCATTACAAGTTTCATGAGATTTTACAGCTTTAGGCCTATAATATATCTTCTATATAATGAGTCTTCTATGATCAATAAAGACTCCAAAAGAGGCTTGCAGGTCTATGGACCTTAAACTTCAGAGCACTTCAGCAGCACCAAAACACATTTAAATAATTTCAGCAGACGTGTATGAATGCCTGTGGTACTCTATCATGCCATCATTGCATCCATTGTCACCACTCCTGCCAAAACAACACCAAAGACTCTATACTGACTAATGTGAGAGAGAAATGAGCCAGTGTACAAGAAATAACAGTTGTTAAGAGGACAAATAAAATAAGATGCTTCTTTTATGACAACATTTTGATAAGAAAAATTGAAAGGCACCTTAATAACTCAATGTATTGAATGCAAGTCCCAAAGGAGAGAGAACTGTGTCAGCTGCATGTTTCCTGCTTCAATCTCCAGTTTGGTAAAAAGCCCTGCTTGAAAAGCAGAGACTGCAGCACTTCATAATAGGCTGCCATTGGGCAAATTTCTTCTCTTATGATATCGAGTGGCATTATACTGATATCTGTTGGACACTAGCCATTCACCTCATGCTTTCAAGTAAGAGCTTATTAGAAGTTTTTTGCCTCTAAAACATGTGTGAGTAAACAGAGGTTCCATACCTTTAAAGACTATTTGCTCTTGTCCAGATACTGATATTAAACTGAGTTCAGTTATACTCAGTTTTATTAGAAGAAAGAAATCTGTGGACAGAGTTTTTTGAGATCACTAAATCATTCCAAATACATCTTATTAGGTTAACAGTAATGTGCTTGCCTAAAATACTCAGGGAAAAGCAATCATTACTGGTAATGTACTGAACTCAGGATAGGGAACTTGCATTAGGAAATGTAGTTGCATAATTTAAAGGTCATTTGGGGCCTACTATGCATATGTATAAAGAGGGCAATATCAAACAATAAATTAGAAACATGTAATAAATGTATTGTGGAAGTAAGAACTTCCAGCCTTTGAGGGTTATAGAACCCATGGCCCTCTAAAATTTACTCCTACATTTACCAGCTTGCTTGAATAGTAATCACCATTTTATTTTAAAGTCCATGTCAGAAAAATATGTCTTTTTTCTCTCCAAAACACTTCAAATTCCACCATGAAAGACACACCACCTCAAGAACCAAAGCAGCATGACTAAATTATGGCTGACTAGCAGGTTTCTCAGACACAGAAGCATCAAAACTTTGAAGTCAACATCATCCATCTTCTAAGGCAAACTTTAGAAATGGTAAAAACTCCCAACTTCACATTGACTTAACTTGAAGTTGTGAATTCTCAGTTAATTCACAACCAGGTCTTTGAAATTTCCCGTATTTGATTTGATATTTTTACTTGATGACCACTTTTCACACACTCTATAACACTGGCAGAGTACTCTGAGAAGTTCTGGGTGAGAAAGAGGACTGAAAATACAATCATTTTATCTTGCCAACAGAGGTCTCTGGTATCCAACAAACAGGGTCTCAGCTCCTTTCTAACCACCTACTTCCCACCCGCAGCTGTCAACTGCACGCAATAAAACAAGGAGTGGCAGATGGCTTTAGCAGAGTCAGTGCCCCAGGGGCAAGAAACAAGAGAAGGGAAAGTACTTATGCTGCTGCAATGACAAAGACAAAGCAAGGGAGCAAGTTAGGGACAAGAACTTCCACTACAGAGCTGCACATTGTTATTTCTGTCTCACAGGTCTAGGACACCTTCCCCTTACACCCTACCCTTGTAGTCTTCCACTTGATGAAGTAAATGAGGTCTTGTCTGATCACATTTGCTCCAACTTTTCCAAGAAATGGTCAGTTAGAGCACATTCATCACATTAAATATCACGTTGAAAAGATCTGTAATTTACAATCCTGCCACCGTGAAATGTACGACATTAGGCCGCTATGGATTTATGTCTAATTTTGTAAAGACAGAGGTAGCAGATTAAAGTTAGTTAGAACCTTGCTGATGATTGAAAACACTTAGATGTATTTTAGGGGCTGAGGGAGATGAGAAGAAGACAGGGTCACAAGACACAGCCAGGAAATATTTGTGCTGCTTCTGAGTACCACAGACTTCAAGTTATGTTAATTGAAGTACTTGTCTTTACAGGAATGATGGTGATAAAGCAGTTTATCGTTTGTGTTCTTCAACATATCCAGCTTATCATTAATTAGATATTAGAGTC